GATATGTACTTGGATTTTTTTTTTTTTTTTTTTTTTGACCTGGTATGAAATGTATTTGTGGGGAAATATTTAACCACGTTTTTTTTCCTTGTCTTTTTTTTTTTTTGTGGTTTTGTTTTGTTTTTTCTTCGTTTTTTTTTTTTTTTTTGTTTTGTTTTGTTTTGTTTTTTCCGTGTATTTAGGGGATCTCTCATTAGGTGCACTTTGAATTTATTTGTATGGTTTGAAAATCATTTCCTGTTTACCCGCTCGTTTAATTTAAGTAAGCATGTTGTAAAGTGATATTTTATTTTACAATGATGATTTTCCTCTTTTTCTCTCGCTCTCTTTCTCTCACTGAGAATGGCTTTTTATGTGAGCCACTCAATAAAGTCAGTATGAATTCAGACGCAACTTTATCGACTCAGTTTTCCTTTTTGTTCCCATTGTTGAGTCGATCAAATCAATTTGTTCTACAAAAAAAAAAAGACTCTAAAATTACATTTTAAAAATGTGCAATTATTAATGTTGAAATATTGTATGTGTCAGAATTTGCGACGTTTTGATTTGCTCAAACCGAATCAGGAAAAGTTCTGCAGCGGAAAAAAAAACAATTGTTTGACTTCTAAAGAGGAAGTAAATACTTGGCATCTATTCAAAATTTTTAATGTGACAGAAAATAATTTTCTGTGCAATTATTCGAATTAGACAGAAATTAATCGGTTTTCAACTTTTAATCGGCTCACTATAAAAACCTAAAGTCCTTGTGGAGTTTAATCACTGCCCTCAATGCGAGAAAAACAAGGTTTTGCCACTTTAGATCAAAAATATTTATCTACTCTTTGCATTTTGCTCTTATTATAATTGCTCTCTTTGTTTCATTGTCCATTTTCCTGGAACATGTTTTTTTTTTCAAGCGCTCAATCACATAAAAAAAAAAAAAAAAAAAAAAAAAAAAAAAACATTCAGCTGCCAGCAACTGGAGATTTTAGTTTTAATGAGTAAATATTTAAATCATTTAACACAGCCTATATCTCTCAAAAACATCACATGAATTTACAAACAAATGTTCTTTTTTTGTCTTACTTGTTATTATCCCAAAGCTAATAACTGTGAGCCACTATAGACTCTATAAACTAAGCGTAAACCCGCCATCTTTTTAGAGAACGAAACGGTCCCTTGATAAATGTGGAAGATGCGTTTAGCCAATTTGATTATTTCATGCTGTATTATACTCTGGTTTATTTGCAATGCAAAATTAGAGGTTTGTTCAAAACTCTCCTTTTTTTGTTTACTTAGTATGATTTCTATTTTCTATCGTAACCTTTAGAAGATGTCTCCTGTTTGAATTCAGTGGTTCTGTTGTCCCTGGATTTAATCAAATCCACAACGCGGATGTTTGCTGGACGCAACATCCCTCATTTAAAATATCTGCAGTGAAGTATACTCTTGTAAACAATTATGTTTTGTTTGATTGTTTTGTTTTGTTTGGCTTTTTATACTTATTGGGTCAAATATTGTTTCTGAACCTTTAGTCTTACAGTGAAGAGTAAAATAGTATCAGGATCCTTCAAACTTAAGCTTCCCATCTACACGTTTGCAGCGCCATCTAGCGTTGTCTAACCCGTCAGTCTGTCCATCGTGCATTGATCGTTGTGTGGAACGCAAAAGAGAAACTTTGAAGAGAGGAAGTGTTTTGTGAAATTGTCACAGTAACTTTTAATCAACTTTTTTTTTTTTTTTTTTTTTTTACAATGCAAGTTGAGACAATGTTAGTTGAAAGTAACAGTTTTGACTGAAATACATTTCGAGCTGAAGCCCTGTTCTAAGCAGCAGTTGGTCTGTATTGGCTCTGTGGTTGGTTGTCACACATGTCAAGCTTTTAAAACAGGCATGAAATGTGAAATGTGTTCCCTGTTCTTTGATTATTTTGATTATTGATCCACCGCTAAGGCAAACAAAGTCATCCACTTCTCACACATTAAATAATTCACAACAATTTGCTAATCTTGTTCAAATTTGTCATTCAAAGTCACACGGCTGTATACATTTCTCCGCTATAGAAGGCCACAAACGACAATTGCAATAATCTTGTGAAGTTCTCGTTGATAGCTACAGGGACAACCGATCCTGATGTGAAGCTATTTGTCACTGCTGCTGGGTGTTTACTCTTTGCCGTAATTAACAGCACAAAATGAATGCCAATTTCGTCCCTCCACCGTAAGATTTGATTTAATAAAGTGAAGCCTAGTGTACGATGACTCAATGATGGACAATTACTGCAAAAGTAGGTAACAGTCCAACCTTAGTCCTCCCCTAAATGTTGTGGCGAAATCCAGCTCTTTTAACTGCTGAAAATCTGTAATTAAAATGATTATGTCTGGATTTTTTAGAGCAGTTAATCAGGCTGTTTCTATATTTAACTTTGTTTCTCATATTACTTTGAAATACTTAATCATTCAGCAATGAAAGACAGTAAACGTAATATTACCAGATATTACTCAGTATTTCTTCTTATCAGCAACATCACACAAAAAACTGAAAAAAAATAGATGCTTTAAATTTGAATAAGTTTCTCTAGATTTTTCTTTGTCAGTCTTGTATAGTGGTGCACAAACTTACAAAAAAACAACAAAAAAACAAGCACAATGGTTTTGTTCTGGACATCTTTGAAGAAAACAAGTGATTCTAAGATTCAAATCAAAAAAGGTAATTTAGATGATGAAACAAAATTGTTTAACTCCATCCGAATACGACAAAAAACATATTTTCCTCCCGTACTTGAACAGCTTTTATTAGATTTTTCCAATTCACTGAAAAAAAATGTTTCCCTTTAAAAGTAAAAAAAAAAAATAAACAGGAAAGAAAACAAAAATAAATCCAGTTGAAAGCTGTTTAAATAAAAAACAACACACACACACACAGAGAGAAAATGATCAGATTTAATCTGAAGACTCATTTACCCCGCATGTTATGTTTGCTGTGCTGTGTTGTTGCCTTATTATCACCTTCCCAGACTGTTGTGGTATCAGTTGGTCCTCAGAGGAACGTCCAACCACAGGCCTGATTTAAATTAAGATGGCCTCAGTGCCCGAGTGTCAGGAAAAGGAAGGGAAACAGCCAAGTGGGGATGGAGAGACCACAAGAAATACCTCACAGCTTTGATCCAGTCTCTTGGAAAACAGGAAGCCAAACTGGATGAAAGCTTAATGATGTATCCTGTTGAATAAAGCTTCAGCTGAATCTCATGATACGGTCCACCTTTTTTTTAATCCCCATGGAGTTCTTGTACACCTCTCTCCGATGACGCATCTGGGGCCAATTTTGTGGTTTGAACCGCCAACCACACTGTCATCAAGCCAGCGAGTCTCCTGGGAAAGGCAGTTGGATACGTTCCAGAGGTTAGTCCAAATAATTAACTGTAAATTCAGCAAGGCTGCCAAGGCTGTGTTTGTACTGGATGTTGTACAGTTTAAAATTAATTTACATGACAGCCGTGAGTGGAATATAACCTCAGAGTGAAAGGCTCCCAACATGGATTTAACAACATTAGTTCATGACTCAATAAAACAAATATTAGGCCACTCCAGCTTCAAGTGTATAAATTAAAAATAATAATTAAAAACACACTTCCACCAGAGATGAATTAAATTTTTTTTTACCTATATGAAAATAAATAGCCTTCAAACTTCTAACCAAGTTAACCCAGATAATAAAAAAATGTCACTTTTGTGAAAGGAAAAACTGTCAAAATTAAAGTGAGAATAAAACCTAAGCCAGGAAAAAATTCCTGTGCAAAGGTTATTCATATATTATTAAACTCAGCAGGTAGGTTAACCACTCCTCTCAGAGTGCCACTAATAGCAACATGTCAACAATTGTTGGCCATACAGCAGCACAGCCTGTGTTCTTCTTCAGATGTAAATTAGCTCATTTGATCATGTGCTAATTTCAGGGGGATATATAAAAAGAAAATTAAAATTAGCCTTCAGTCCTGTACACCAACATTTCCAGCCACAAATGCTTGTCTTAATAGAAGATGCAAGCAGATAAGTTTGGAAACCAAATGCAATTGCGCCACAAAAGTTAAGCATTGCAAAAACAGTGAAATGGCGCCATCAAGTGGTTGCTGTCAGTAACTAACAATATTTACTTCCATGAGCGATTACCAGGACATGCAAATATCCCTGAGAGTAAAATAAAACCCACAAAACATTATATATTTGTGAATAAACAAATATACCTATGTTAATTAAAAAAAACTCACAACAATAGTACTGTGGTTTATCCTATTTTATTTTAGAGAACACTGTACAAATAGCACTGATTAACGTACAGCAATAAAAGAAATAAGTTTGAAAAGTTGTTGTGTTTTTTTTTTCAGTATCATAGGACTTAGACAAAAACAGTTTTCTTCAGACAGCGGAGTAATAACTTGAAAGGAGATAATCTACTTAGAAATACTTAACTGCATTCCTTAAGAACTGCTTATGGCTGAACAAGGCTTTCACTTCTAGACAATACAAAACACTGAAACCTGGATATTTGAGGATTTTTCACTCTTATACAGACCAAGCCCTGTTTACAATCAATGTAGCACAGAGAATACTAGTGAGATTAAATATATCTGTTTTGTTACTGAAACTGTTTCTGGGTGTGGTAAAGGGAGATGAAAGTCTGTTCAATTCTAACAATAACTTAATAACTAAAGTCAAGCGGGACAGTAGTTTCTACGCTTGGATAATTTACTTGAACCAGCAGAAAACCAACCCAGTACGTGCAGGCCGAATGCCTGCGCGACATGACAGAGAACAACGTTCCGGTTGCACGCTTATCTCCAATCTCCTGCTCCTGTCGAAACTGAAGGGAACGGACAGTTTCAGGTGTGCATGGACGTAAACACCGTGTTGCACTCTGGGCAATGTAGTCACCGCTCGCGGAAAGCCACTCCTCCGCATATGCGTCCCTGTAATTATTGAAACTCCCAGTCCCAAAATGCTCTCTGCGCGCGAGAGCAAACAGGGCCGAGGAGGGGCTGGCGAGCTTCTGAAGCTCCGAGTTAATGAGAGGAGGCAGATCTCTTTAAGCGAATAAACATCTGGTGTTGGCGGTAAGATTCAGCTTTTTTATTATTATTATTCCAAGTAAATGTGATTTTTTTTCTTCTCCCCTTTGGAGTTGAATAATAGGAAGCGTGGGGTCTTAATGGCAGGCTTTATTAATCTGTAACTACTCAGTTTGTTGTTTACCTGCTCAGACTTTACAGTGACATTTAGTGCTTCTTCCTAATTGGAATGTACAGTAACTCTGTTCTAACTTTTTATTTGTCATATAATATAGCGAGCAAAAATATGTCTATGGTCATATTCGCTGGATTATTTATCTTCAGAAGAAACGTGGTCCTGTCAGTCTTTGCCTAGTGGTTGTAATGTTCTTTGGAGCTCAGTGAGAAGCAACCTCTGTGTCCTCTGCTCAACAAGACCGACCTGTTTTTGCGCATTGATGTAAGAAAACACATCATTGATGACTGACTCACTATGCCAAGTTTTCAAAAGGCTGTCATTTTACACAAGCGAGTGAAGAGCTGAGGCTTTATTGTCGGTTTTGAAACACTTTCCTACTGGACAAACAGAGAGGGACATCTGGGGATTCAACAATAACTTTAGTCAGAAGAAAAATATTTTAAAGCCTAAAGACAAGCAAATAGCTGGTAAGCAAGCCCAACTGATTTTCAATTAATTATTATTGTTGATATTATCCTACTTGAATCAATAATAATATAAATAGTATATATATATATATATATATATATATATATATATATATATATAATATATATATATATATTATATATATATATATATATATATATATTTTTGAAAGTATGAAGATAAAGGAAATAGAGATGAATCAAGACAGTTGTAGGCTACTGCATAACTAAAAGAAATGTGGGGAAACAAATAAGGTCAATTTCTCTGTCAAATAAGAACATTTTCCCTTTTTGTAAAATATAACATCTATTGCTTAGGATTTTAAAGTCACTTTGTCAGTTTTGGAAGTTGTTTTAGAGAAATACCAGAGAAATACTAAGGCTTCCTTTTTAGCATAGAGTATCTCAGTAACCCCTAAGTTATAACCTAAAAACAATCCTTCAGAAAAATATGCTCAAGCCTGAAAGGAAACATACACTTGTGTCTTACCAGACTAACTGTATCTGAGGATAAACATTAGTTCTCCTGTTTACAGATGACAACATGGCAGCTGAAAGGAATATGTCATTTCGCCGGGTTGGAAGTATCATGAGGAGTAGATCTGAGGGCACATTAATTGATCTCAATGATGATACATCATCCAGTGATAACTTGAATGGTAAATATCTAGACAAAAATACTCAAAGTTTCAATATCCTAGAAGATGTACTGATCAAGCTCTCATGTCTTAAAGGTGGCTTTGTACCGGGAAGAACACAGACATTAGATTGGCAGTTTTCACATCCAGAAAAATCAGTGTCCTCCCAATCAAAAAACCCTTTTTGGAAAAATCTATCAAGATCCAATCCATTCCTTGACGATATTGTTCACAGTGGCACATGTAAACCAACTTCCAATGGGTCAGAAGTAAAAACAGGAGGAACAGTACATCCAGATGATGGTAATGGTGATGGCACAAGCACATCTTCTGATGAAGGCAGCATTGGGAACTTTAGTGTGAACAGACACAAAACCAGCAACCAGTCTGGGAGATGGAGAAGTGCTTCAGACATTCTCAGTGATCTGGAGAAAAAGGGGCCAACATTTAGGAACAACTCCAGACCACCTGGGCCTGTTCTGACCCCAGACTTTGAGTGGCTGAAGAATGACAGAGAGGCCTATAAAATGGCCTGGCTGAGCCACCGGCAGCTGACCCGCTCCTGCCTGGACTTAAATGTGATGAGCCAGAGCCCTGGCTGGGCCCAGACCCAAGCCACACATTTTCAGGTTATTAGTAAGATCAACCACAGCGGAGGCTCAGTACAGTTAACCGAATCCAAAATTAGCATTCATGTCCCACAAGGGCACGTTTTGCCCGGAGAAGTTCAGGAAGTGACCCTGAAAGCGATGCTGGACCCTCCTCCTTGCCTCAACAATAACTACATAACAACCATGAGCCCACTTCTCGAGGTGCTGCTAAGTAACATCAACACAAAGGAGTGCTTGTCCTTGGAGATGAAACTCTCAGGGGAGGTAAAGGACAACCCTGAAAGTCAGGTGATGACCACGGTGTTTGGAATGGTGTCTAACAAACGACAGGGCCCATACACCAAAATGAATGACTGTTACGTTGACAAGAACTTGATTCGGATGAAACTCCACGATCTGAAGACGCATTTTTTTGTAATAGCAGTGGCAGAGGCCTCTGCTCTCCAGCCACCCGCCACATCAGTTTGGGATTACCTCAGTCGACAAATCACAATTGCAGTCTATGGCCCAAGGTTCATCCATCCATCATTTAAGGCTGTAATAGTCGTCTGCTGTCACGAAGATGTTCCACTTAAGCTTCCTTTCTCAGATGTATGCAAAGGTAATAAAAACCTGCCCCCGCTTGTGCTGCAACTTTGGGGGAAACACTCATTCAAACCAAACATGTTGAAGGACTTTACTGTAGGGGTGGATGTTAAGGGCTCAAACTTTGGAATCAACTCTGAGGACAAAGTGAAACAAGTCAGGCAAAGTCGGCTCAAGATTGGGACGGTTTTGCATCTACCAGTCTCAATATCTTGCCCGAGGAAAGCAGAGATGACTCCTTTTCAGTTAAACATACAAGTGATAGAATCAAACTCGTCATCAACATCAGCTGACTTTCAGGTTTCTTCCCCTCCCGCACCACCCATCAGGTCAGAGAAGAGGCAACCAAAGAATGTGGAAAGAAAGACTGAGACTGGAAAAACATTTTCCATTCCAGAGGAAAGCGATTCCGATTTACCCAAATTCAAAGACATACCGCTGACTCTGCAGTGGTACGGAGTAGCCCTAAAGACAGTGTTACGTCAGCCACGCGTAGAATATCTCCTGGAGTATTTTAAGGGTGAAACCGTGGCTCTGCTTTCCAGAGAGACTGTCAGGTCAGTGGGTAATTTGAAGGTGAAAGAGTGGTACATCGGATCCCTCAGAGGTAAAATTGGCTTGATCCACTGCAGAAACATCAAACTCATAGCAGTGGACCAGGTAATGGACTTCAGCGATGCTCAAGTCACCACAGCAGTTCTTTTGAACAACATGACACTGCCCTTCAGGAAGCTCACGTACATGTATTCTGCCATCCAGACATTGGTCACACAGCAAATCACAAGCTGGAGAGGTTTCGCAGACGCTTTAGAGTACAAAAATGAGCCTCTGGAAACAATTAAGAGAAGATATGCAGAAACTGACGCTGACAAGGTGGCTTGCGTTCTGGAAAAGCTGAAGGAGGACTGCCACAGTGAGAAGTCAAGGAAAAAGTTCCTGCATGACCTAATGGTGGTACGTGCATGAAAAGGGCTTTCAGTCAAACCTATCAAACTCATGTCGGTCCATGCTGTGTTGGTAAATCCTTTCTATGCACTTGTAAAAATATTGTTTGTGTTTTTTTTTTCATCATCATCAAGGGGCTACTGAAGATGAACAATGTGAATCTAGTGGCTCAGCTCATTCAGAATACAGTCATTCTGTCGACAGCTGTGGAGCTGGGGATTCGATGGCGGGAGCTTGCAGAGAAGATGGGAAAACTAACCAGTGCTCAGATAGCTGCTTATGAAGCTCCACACCGAGGGAAGGACGATGAAGTCAGTCAGCAGGTCAGTTTAACAGTCAGTAAATGAACATTATTCTTTCCTGGATTCGTCTTGTATCACCTACATGTACATCTCAATAAACAAAAACATGAGAAGTTAATTTATTTCATTAATTGAATTCAAGTTTCTACAACTTATTACATCAAGGGACATCTCTGGGCTTGGATTTAGCCATTTTTTCATTAATTCTCAGCCAGTGCTTGGTAGATTTATTGGTAAGGTTTTAGGTTATTGTCTGGTTTCAGGATCCAGTTTTTGCCTCGGCTTACTTATTGTTTTAATTTTAAATTTTTTCACAGATAGTCTGACATTTTTCCTGTGTCATGATTGACTCATCCTTGCATTAGGATGGATGTTTCTTTTACTTCAAAACAGTTTTGATCATTTTTAACATGTAACATTTCTGATCACTTTTACCTCTTAAATCGTGCTCTTTGACAGTCCATGTGGAAACCTGCCTATGACTTCCTTTACTCCTGGAGCCTTCGTTATGGAGACAGCTACAAAGACATGATCCAGGAGCTTCACCTGGCCCTGGATAAAATGAAAAATCCTGTCACCCGGCAGTGGAGGCATCTGACTGGTGTGCTCATCACGGTGAACTGCTTAGACGTCTTTCAAGAAACAGCTTTCCCAGACTCCTAAATGTTTCACACTGTTGTGCTGAAGCAGGCTTTGTGTGAAAAACACTAAACATGTTACCTACTGACATCTTTACTTAAAACACAAAACTCTCAGAGAATTTCACTTTAGCTGAAATTCTCTGAAACGCCATAACTAACAAGTCCAGGAAGGCAGTGATTTAAAAGTGGCGAAGATGTCTGTGCAAATGTCAAATATGTGAAATTGAAATTTTGCTTGTGTTTATGATGTCAGTAGTGACTTACTGATCTCTTGATAATAATTTTAGCTGGTGTAGGACCCTTTGTGTTATTGTTTTTTATACATAGCAGAACTTTCTTTGTAAACCTTTTCCCATTCAAAGTGCACTTTATTTCTACAAATCTTCAAAGATTAAAAAGCAGATTCATAATTTTAATCCACTGCATTTGAGATTATTCATACATCAAATCAATAGTGTAATCTTTTGACTGTTATATTATGGTCTGTAACTTTTGTTGCACTTATGGACATGTTATATGTTTTTTTAATACATTTTAAGTATAATGTAAAACACAAAGAAAAATGTTTTTTCCTAAATGTCATGTGGGCGTACAGCATTGAGAGTCTGAATTTCTGTTTTTTTCCCCCAGGTTTGTTGTGAAAATAAGTCTATTTTACCAAAGGAAATGTTACATAAGATGCTTAAACAAAAGAAGGTGTCTTCTATGTGTTATAGACTGCTCTTTTGCATATATGTGTTATTTTTTACTATCAAATTTTAGATAAGTAGGAATATTATAATTTATAATTTAATAAAGGAAATAAACAACACAGTGGCTGCACGTTCATTTAATTAAGTTTGTCCTAAACAATACTGTGATCTAATGTAATGTGCACACAAAACGACTTTTATGTCCATCATTCCCAGATGGGGTAGTGGAAATGAAATGAGAATGCATATATTAAAAATGCCTTGCAATTGTCTCACCGTGTTATTCATTTATAACAATGCATAAAACTATGAAGAACTTCCTGTCTATATATAGGTTGTAGGACCAATTTTTAATTTGTCAACAACAAATAGAACTTAGAAAATCAAGAAGGATCACTTCATTAAAAATAGGTCCACAATAAAAATTCGTTTACGAAACCTTTGAATCTCTGATGTAATGAAATACGATGAAACGTGGAGCTAGAAAAACTTCTGAGACATTTTTTTTTCAGGTGCAGGGAGGCAGTAAATATTTTGACTAATGCAATGTGACTGGCTTTGTTTGGAGCCCTTTTTATAGTAGTGGCAGCAATTGGAGAGTGCAACAATTATCTATAGTGAACATTGTAATTTTTCAGTTTGCATGTTTTAAATCTGGCTAGTGTCCAGGTGTGTGTATGTGTGTGTGCGTGTGTGTGTGTGTGTGTGTGTGTGTGTGTGTGTGTGTGTGTGTGTGTGTGTGTGTGTGTGTGTGTGTGTGTGTGTGTGTGTGTGTGTGTGTAACTATGACTATCTTTAAAAGGTCCACGAGGCAAAAATATCCTACGGGCGAACGAAAGATGCTGGATTCAACTTTAACAATTAATTTCTGAAAAAACAGCTGACTGTTATTTGGAATCTAAAGAAAACCTATATTGCTTTTAGACAATTATTTTGCAACAATTCTATCTAAATCCACAAAATGGACTGAGGACATTTACTCCACTGGGTGGCGCAATTGCATTGTGCAAGATGGCGGAAATGAAAGCCCGTTAGTTTCGGTCACATGTCAAGAGTCAAAACATTTCACTTCAGAAACAAATAAAAGCTTCAGGAATGCTATCACATTATTACATTTTAATTATTTCATTTTATTTTACACTGGTCTTTCCAAAGTATATAAATATTTATGAATAAATACCAACATAAGTTTAATTTTGGATCTAGCTTATTGAACATTTGGCATCATATTTATATTAGTAAAATGATATGAAATATCTAGTCAGTTCACATCAGTGCTGCAATGAGTGAGAATGCTCAAATTTTGCCTCCAGTTTCAGAAACCCACAGTCACAAGGGTCCATCTACAAATCACTATTATGAACAGAAGCATTCCTCTGTCCTCTAGGGTATATAGAACTTCATTTGGTTTGCCGTCATGATATATGTTTAGGCCAAGAAGTCATTTAGGGCTTAATTTATTAGCCTGCTGATTTATGCCTGCTGCTGCAAACATGCTGAAGGTGGTATCTCCCAGCCCCACTTTAGCTCCGCTCGTTATTCCATCCTCTGGCACTTTCAAAATTCACTCTAATAATCTGGTTATAGATGATGTGAATGTGGAGAAAGCATAGCAGTGAGGAGAAAAAAAACAAAAAGAAAAACGCTTTTCCGTTTCTGTTTCTGCACTTCATTTGTAACTGTTGCTTCAGTGAGTCTGAGGAGGATTGAATGGGAAGAAAGTTGAAAATTTCTCAACTTAGAGCTCAATTTATTCAGAAACGTTAAGCCTGGTCACAACTACGCACCAACAGACGGATTCTTGACATGGGTTTAGTTGTCTTCGCATCAGTACAAAGCATTGTGACTCATCTGTCCTTGTTCAGAGGAGAAGCTCTTTAAAAAATAATTTCAGGATCAGTTGCATTTACAATGCCAAGGCGAGCCTGTAAAATAAAATCCAGGCTTCTAATGTGATGTCAGGACTGGTCACAAAAGCTATAGAGGCAGCTGTAGTTTGGTAACCCTGCAGGGATTCATAATTTCCACTTTACACAAGAATTTGTTTGTGTGTTGCAGGTTATAGGGTGTTGATTGTTGCCCAGAGATCAGTGCTTTTCTTATGACTACCAGCCTGCATGGAGCCTCTCCCCATGGCCACCGCCGGGAATGAGGAAGTTCTTCACAGAATGACTCACAGAGATGGAGAGAGGGAGAAAAAACAACTTGCAGCATTTGGCAGCAGCATAGAGAGAGTTTGTGAGTAATAGGCCATCCACATCCTTGGACACCTCACTTTACTCGCACTCTTTTTCCATTAGCCAGCCTCAAATTATCTGACTTTTGGAATAGTGGAACACAGCGGTTATAAAGATTTGAGACAATTAAAAGACACATACCAGTGCTTTTTCACTTCTTATGGCATCTGAACCTTCAAAAAGTTTTAATTTACCAACAAAATTTGACATTTACATGGGATGACAATGCATGTACAGTAGTTAATTTTTTAAAATAATTTTATATTTTATTTTTTTATAGTTGAATGATTTATTGTTGTTCAAGTTATTCAAAAATAATCTCACGGTACAAAATTTTGCTAGTTGAACCTGACATATCTAACATATCTACAAAAGTTTATGTCCTGCTATTTTTATACTTTATAATGTTATGTCTAAAACAGTGAGCTTTTTGTGGGTCTAAATGCTAAGAGCTTCTTGTTTCTTATACCATACCAAACAATGGCCTGATCATCTTGGGATGAAAGCTCAATTTACTATCCACAGTTTCTGATTGGCCCCAAGTTCTCAAATAATTATGATCTGACTTTCTTGGAAAATAAGGTAAAGTTCTACTTTTTTTTTCAGCTGTTAGGAGAGAATGTGCTGGTGTGACTTGGATCATTGTCTTGTGGCATTACCTAATAATGCTTGAGTTTAAGGTCTTAAACAAATGGTTGGAGATCCTCCTTCAGGATTTTCTTTTCTGCTTGTAAATATTGACTTTTATCAAGTTCTCTAGGCCCCGAAAAAGCACTAAAGCAACCACCAGGATTGAGTGTTGGCATGATGTACTTTCTCCATCCAGGAGTGCTTGTGCCTATCTCCAGCAGTCAATGGGCAATGGAGGTTTATTGCAGGTCTATTGTAGGGCAACATTGACAAACAACCATGCCTAAAAATTTTTTTAGAAAGACCCCAGTCCTGGGATCAAACCTACAACCTTCTTGCTGCAAGGCAACGGTGCTTCCAACCGCACCACTGTGCAGCCACTCATGATGTACTTTCTCCTGTTATATTATTATATCACATGTTACAGGATACACATACTCCAAAAAAGTTACAAGTTTCAGTCCACAGAACAGCTTGGTTACTGTCACAATGTTTTTTGGTAAACATGAGTCAGGTGTTAAGGTTTTTGTGGTCAGCAGTGATCTTTGCTTTTTCCATGGATGCACATATTGTTCTGTGTCTTTCCTCCTAATTTAATCTTTAACACCATACTCAACTGAGACATGAGACCCGTAGAGCTTTATATGTTGTTCTCTCCCCGAAAGCTTTAGATTTTTGAGATCTGGGTGTAAAGAGTTGCATTTTGTGACATGTCAGCCTACTTCCTGCTGTTACGGAGGTTCTATTCAAGTGATTTATTTATTCTAAACGTCTGCCAGTAATTTCTCCTAAGTCTGTCTTGTGAACATGAACCAAATGATGTGATGAATCACAGTTAATTTTTGATTTTATAAATGGGGCCAGGATGGTTTTGATAGCTTTTTCCCTTTATAAATTAAGTCATCATTTCAAAATTTGTTTTGCTCCTTTACTCAAGTTGTCTTTGTTAAATGCAAAAATTTATTTGATCATCACACAACAAAGAAAACAAAACCAGCAGAAATATGGCAAAGTTTTTTCTGGCACTGTGTTAGAAACCAATAGAAACCAATTTTTTGACAGTTTTTGGATAAATATAGTTGACTATTTTTTGTTATATAGTTTGGAAAGACCCTGGAATTGTTGATTCAAGACCCCCAGAAGGGCCCTTTTCCCAGTCTTAGGAAGTGGTGGTGTAGATAAAAAGGTAAATAGACGTTTGTGTGTTGTCAAACAAAACTGAACTCTTTCATTTGTGAAATAGACAAAAATAACAAAATCCTCAAAGAATAAACCTGACGGTTGCCTAAAGAGTTTGCAGTTCCTGATCTGAGTATGTAGCATCACATTTTACCGTTGCTGATTCAGGTGTGAATTGTCTTGAATTTAATTTAGTGCAATGGTTCCCAAATGGAAAATAGAACTAATTCAAATAGAAATTTGAGCTGTGTGAAAAGAAAAAAAGCCAAACTGTTTGGGAGATAATTAATGGGGTTAGGAAAGAAGTAAAAACAAAGTTTAGATCTGCACAAGTGTTTTTCTTGACTCAAACAATATTTGAATCTGAGTAGATCACAGGGGGCACCAGACCTGCTAGCATTTATTAATCTATCAAACCTTATTTTTTGAAACACTCTGTGGTTACTGCAGTCCAGTCAACTTTAAGAACAACTGACAAGTTAATAGACCCAAAGTTTCTCTGAAATTTAAAGTATTCCAAGGACTCATGACAAACCACATCCTAAAAGTGATTATATTGGCCAATCAAGTGCGTGAAAATACAATATTTGGACAGTTTACTTTCTGAGCTCTTCAGTTGCAAAAAAACTTCAGATCTCCTTAAAATGCAGCACTTCAATCTGGGCTGAGTATCAATGATTTTCACCATATCGACTGCTGCTTAGTCTTATATTATGAGCGTATGCTTTTAGAAGCTCCCAGCAGATGGTAAAACCAGGCATATGCTGCAGGTGTCTACACTTTTTGGCAACAACGCTGTGAAAGGTGTAAGCCCTCCATGTCTCAACAAAACTTCACCATCCATTGACAATGAAACTGCTCAAAACTTTTGGTCGTGCAGAAGAGTAAAACAGGCAATTAGTTGGCGATGATCAGACGTTGTCCAATTCGATTGAGAAAAACTACAGATCTGCGGAGGTCTGAGATGCGGTTCGGTGATAAATCCGTCAGAGAAGAGTGTCTCTTTGGTTTATTTCTGTCGACTGAGGGGGAGAACAGGCAGGGCTGCAGGTTTTCCATTCCAAAAACAACAGAGCTGCAGAGGTAGGCTCATTGTGTCGTGACTGATTGCTCTAACTGTAGGAAGAGGAGGAGGAGGAGGATGCCTCAAACTGACACTCAGGGAGGAGTAAAGGTGAACCAAAATGTGGGGGAAGATGGGAACACAGCTGCGGTTCAGAAGAGAG